TTAAAAAGACGATAAAATTAAACTTCAATACTCTTTTATTTAAATCAAACTTATATGTTGTTATTAAAATAAACTCTATTTGTATATGCATTAAGAATCACTTTAGAATTGTTAAATAACATTTATGTTCCACTAAAAGCAGACTGGGAGAGCGTCAAGATGGTTTTGGAATGCACTTCTGCTGAAAAGAGGAAACCAGAAACAACAGCTGCTCGCTTCAATGTTGAAGACAATATTAAAGCTGTCTCTTATATAAATTAAGCAAATTTATTCGAGATTCAGGAACACTATTGTCTACCAGTAATTCTAGAATCCTTTAATAATTTATTAATACATTTTTCATTTTAGTTTCCGTAATAAATAAAGACATGTATATTAGATTAGTAATTTACTTATGACGCACTTATTGAAACAATTTTTACAATCTTAATCACGATAATTATACAGGGTGACTGGTGAATTACTATCGATATTTGAGGACGTGATATTTGACGATCATATATGACAAAATAAAAATTAATATAACATAAATATTAATAAACTTCTAAGTAAAGTTAACCAAAAGTTATGTAATTAATTACGCATCGTATGAACACCCTACAGATTAGGTATACACACACACTCACACAGACGCGGCGCGGCGCGGCGCGAATACGCGTAGTGTTGTATCAGCACGCCGCCGCACACGTCCACACTTGGAACACTTGGAACGTGTACACACTTTATTTATTTATACGGAAATTTGGTCAAAAATTAAGTACCTATTTTTTTTACATAATTTGAATGAGAATCATGTACCGAGTATGCTCCATAAATATTGATAGTAATTCACCAGTCACCCTGTATACACTTATTCAGACTTTAAAAAATGCAAAAACTTTCAATTTAATCAACATACCTACTGTGTAGTACGTATTGTAAGAATTAATTTTAACATTTCAAATGTCAAAAGTTTATACGGTTTCGATGCCCAACTAAACATATTGTTTGCGAAACAGATTTTGTAACACCGGATTTCTAACATTAGATCCGTCATTAAATTTAACTGACGTATAAATGAAATTTAATCCTTGTAACTACTACAGTGAACTTTAAAATACATATACAGCACAAGTAGGTGTTACCGCTTACCTAAAATTTTCAGATGAACTTTCTATAATATTAATATTTTTAACAATAAATATCTTTTCGTATTCGCTTAGTCTTGATTTTTTCATATGTTCGCGGTTTGATTAAATATTAGAGAATTATAAACATAATTGTATATTAACATACTTACGAGTACAATTGCCGTCTATAAATATTTAAGAAAAGCAAATAGAGGAAGTAACGAAACGTTAATATGTCTAAACTAAGTACACAATAAAAATGTACCAAGAACTTGAATATTCAAAGATTTTACATGCATATTCAATAATGTGAACAAAAACTAACCGACCATTCTCATCCATATGTATGTGTGACTTTTCAGTTTCGCTGTGTAAAATTAATCGTCTCATTAACAACTTTATTGAATTACTCTATATTTACATGACACTTTTACTACTAAAATTAAACATAATAATAAACCACTTGATGGCTTTTAGGGACTTTTTATCGATCACAATAATAAAAGATATAAAAATCCTTTAACATAGCAATAATGTGACAAAGTACCATACAAGACCATAGAGAAATTTTTTTTATAAAATGTTTTTGAAATTTTTTGGTTTTTCTTCCTCCCGTCTTCCTCTTTCGTACTAGTCCTTTCAATTTTCATTGGGACTAAATTAAAAACTTATACTACCAAAACCAGAAGGCCGATGAAATTACCATAGCAAAAATATAAGTCAAAAAGCATGATCGTATTCATAGCAGACTACATACGTCAGAGTCAAAAACATAAAATTGTGAGTAAAAAGTTGAAAAATTGGTACCGTATAAATTGAGGGAAATACACCAACAAGGTTTAAGAGCTTATTTAAATTTCTGAACTGACACAATAACGTGGGAATTTTGAATCGTTATTTGAAATGAAAAGTATATGACAATCGGAAACACTTATCACAGTGTCTAAACCCATATGCACCTACCAAATTCTGTTCAAAGAGAAAATTGATTTAATAAAAGGTTTCTTTATTGGCATCATATATAACAGATAATGGAATTCTGGCTAAAGACTGGAAATTTTATCTTACAGGCGTCCTGTGAAAGATAAACGATAGCTTACTTAGGGAAAACGACAGCAAACAAAGCCATTATAATAAATTTGCATAGTCACACTACGTAAGCGTTTCCAGTTTTCCAATTATAAATCTTCGCACATGACGGTATCAACGTAAATATGTAGTACGCAACGTAGGCTTGATGTAATGGTGGTGCAATAAAATGTTCCTGACACTTAATGTACTGCATGGATCTTATACTTACACTTAAATAATAATAATATAAACCATTTCATGCAAAGAAAAGTAAATCCAAGACCAAAAAAACATTTGTCTTAAAGGTTTTATTGAACCTTACTCCGAACGCATTTAGTATCAATTATTAAAAAAATATAAACTATACATAATGGTACGTCAATTTTCTAATTCCAGACCTATGTACCCGATATATTATTTATCTTATCTAGTGCGTATGGTAACGTTTAAGTTAAAAAGATAATATTGATTGAACAATAATAGTTCTTTTTATGTTGCGATGACGCTATTATTCTGTGATAGAGTGGTACTTACCCGGTCGAACTAGTCCATGTTCGAGCTGTAGTAACTTGAAAACAGCTAGCTAGGTACATCGCTATGCAAAGGAAACATCATTTTAAACTCAAAAAGTAACTCAATAACTTGGTATATTATATAAAATAATATTGGTTGTTTCTAAAATGCAGTCAAATGTCTAGAATTTGAAAGCTTACATCAGATAAGTAATCAAACCGAAATGATTACGTCTAAGTAAACAATTATAGCGATTACTGTGATGACCTTAATTGACTACTTTGGCACAGAAATTAAGTAACTACCACGCTAAAGTGTAATTTTGGGTCACTAAAAAACAATGGGCTCGTTTAGCTGAAAGTAATTAATTAAGGCTGAGAGATCTTATATTAGTCTTAAATGGAGGTAAAATCTACCGCGGTGACTTAAAATTTCAGTCGTTTATGTATAATCAATTAATGTTTCATTCTAAAAAACGCTGACTCAATGAAATTTGAAATGCAAACTATATATGTATAATCATACATGATATAAACCCTTCCAATAACTAAACAAACACTCACTGAATTCAATTTAACATAACTCGATACGACACAACATAATGGCAATTCGACAATGACATTTTGTCGAAGTGTCCACTAACTTAAATTCACTTGCATATAACATGAACTTACATACTGCCTTCTATTGTGACTTTCTAAGTATATAATTTATATATAAATTTAAACGATTACGTAACTGTAGATATTAAACATATAATATGTGTAATATATCAGGATGTACAAAAATGTTATTAACTTATAAATAATGCAAAAATTCTGCTAATCAGATAGAAAATCTGAGAGAAAATATGACTTAACAAAGTCACTTATCTTCTATATACATATATAAAAATGGATTGCTGTTCCTTAGTCTCGCTAAAACTCGAGAACGGCTGAACGGATTTATCTTATCTTAGTCTTGAAATGTTCGTGGAGGTTCAGGGAAGGTATAAAAGGTGAGAAAAATTGGAATAATTGCCGGGAAAACCCAAAAATTTTTAGAAACAGCCCTTTTCTATTTCCCATACAAACGCTTTTTTTTGACATTAGATTTGACAACTAACTAATATGTCAATCATTCTGTTTGATTGAAACAGGAAAAACCTGATTATTTATGGCCTCTAAGACGGAATAGAGTTCGCCCGGTCAGCTATACATATATTACTAAAGACGAATCTAACGCGGACGAAGTCGCGGGCAAAAACTAGTACTGAATAAAAATCTTTTATGTTAACACACGAACGGAAAAAAGTTCCAGTAATTTAGGCACGTCATATCTAATAATTTCACGCCCTACATATTACTGCCATGTAAATTAGACGCGAAAAATGTTCGCATTAACTCCGGCTCACTTATTTCTGAGATAAAAATTATGCAGTCTCGCTTTAAACGTGTAGATGAATATTCATAAGCAACTGACACATTAACACACAATAGCTGTAAGCAAAGCTATTGAGTTCACTTGAACTACAGAATTAGATAATAACTTTGTTTTAGTATACATTTAATAGAATTTTATTTTAACAGTACGTAATAATCAACAAGGAACGTATATTTTTTTTTGTCTAAGGAGTTGTGACAGACAAAGTTTAGTTATACATATATAGTATATTAAGATTATGACGAAAATAAAAATAAAGATAATATGTTTGCTAAATAGGTGAATATTTTTAGTTAAAAGTCTTCCGCATTTAAGATTTTCAAACGAAATTAAATGGAGAGTGAAAAATGTCTCTGCTTTTGAACCATAAAACATTAAAAGCCAATGTAGCTTTTAACGACCTAGTACACAACTTTACACTGAGAGAAACGAAAGTTTGAAAGTTTCTAAAAAAATTATACGAGGTCAAATGTCATTTCACATTCCCATTTTATTCATATTCAAATTTTAAAATGCAATAATGATTTACTATTCTGGAATAAAAACTGGTTTAAAATTTTGATGACCTGTATTTATACGAGTACCTATCTTTTATTTTTAAACATAAATAATAGAGTGTTAGAATCGCACATGTACGATTTTTATTTCAAAAGTATTCATAAATCGTTATGTTTTGCAGATGCTTTTTAATTACGAAATAAGCACAAATTGACTTTTAAAAAATTCTGTAATTAATCGCTTAGGTTTATTAATTTGTGAGAATACCTATTACACTATGGTGAAAGGACTTAGAATATTTCGTTTAAGAGCCACAGTTAACTGCTTCCCAACGATAACGCCTATTACATATATGGTTTATCATTAACAATACAGGATTAGATAGAACTAGTCGGGCGGTATCAAGCCATCAGCTATCATCTTTTGCCGCCTAGCTTCTTCTTTAGCTCGTTTTTCCGCTTCCTTTCTCTCCTGTTCTTCCTTTTCCTCTTGTGCCTTCTGTAGGGCCATTGCAGCTAACGTCTTCTGATCTAATTTGAAGAAGTTGATCGGCTCCTTAATGTATCTTTCATCCTTAGCGTTCATGTTTTCAATAAACTTAACGTATGCAAAACTGCCGTCCTCTGGATTGTAAGTTTTGTCTTTAATAGCTAGTTTCAGCCAATCAACAAATTCGATCTCGGTCAAAGGCTCTCCCCATGTCATTAGTTCTTGTCGTAGAAGCTCTAAATCCGCTATACCAGTGTCTTCATCGTCATGGGCTAACGCCGCAAAAGCTTTCGTCACCTCAACTTCAAAGTCATCACCCCAATTCATTTTAGCTTCTATCATAAATAACCATTCGTGATACTCCACAGTGTCGACTAAATCGTCTTCCAAAAAAAGTCTGAATAGTTCCTTTATTTCTGCTGTTTTTGGGTTGAACCCAAGTTTTCTCAACATTAATGGTATGTCCACTATTTTCACCTAAAATCATGTTATTGTGAAATCAAAATCACTAACATAAACATCAAAACACGGTTATTTAATTAAATCTAAATAGATTTTCTCGTAGCCTACATTAAAATAAATGACTTGACAAATACAGCTATTTAGCTTCTAGCCTATTCAATTAACAAATTGTACCTACTGTTAATAACTAGTACATAATACTAAAGGAATTGATTGCCTGAAATTAATTAAATACATTTCCATATCTTGACATAAGATTAATTCTGTTCATTTTCTATAATTGTGATATTACTACCTACGTGAAATCTGTCAGTTTCAGAATAAACAGGATGCCTCGAGCTAATTTATCAGCATGGATATAGCATCAATAAAGTTAAACACTTTTACGATTCTTTATATTTATTTTCGACTAGATATTTAATTAATAGAAAATAATTATCTTGTATATACAGATACCTTCTCAATACCTTCTTCATCGTGGGCTTTAAACATTTCTTTGAATTTTGCTAAGTCGTCTGGACCGAAGCAGGCGGGTGGTGGTGGGATTTTCTTGGGTTTAGGTGGAGGCCCCATCGCCATAGCTTTGGTCGCTTGTGCAGTACCTTTATCTTTACCTTTTCCTTTTTTAGGCGGCATTGTGAAATTATTTCTGTAGCTACTTACACGACTCACATAGTGTTAAAGTAAAAAAAATGTAAATTATAATATTATAGGTATTACGTCAAATTTTGACAGTAGGTAATTGACATTATTATCTTTTGTAAAAGAAATAGGTTTTTTGTTCGTGATTCATTCGTGATTCAAGTTATAAATAGGAAGCGTTGTCTTACTACACTATAAATTTAAAAAATCGCCGAGATAGCCAAAAAAGGAAATAGATTGCTAATATTCAAAACAAAATGTTATATGTGTATTTTTATTTTTACCCCAATAACATCAAATTAAGACTTAAGTATTTATCATATGGCACCTAGCAGTAAGTAAAAAGTTGAATTTTACAATGGAACTCTTTACTCAAAACCTCACAAGTCTAAATGTACTTCGACAATTCAAATATCCCTCGCTAAAATAACAATCATGAGCGTCAAACCACGAAAGTGTGGACAAACAAGTGATCTGGAAAACGGTGCTAGCTATCCAACAAATATAAATGGCCATTTCAACTTGACCTGTAATTGCCTTAGGGCCTTACGTATTGAAAGCTGACCTAAAATGGAAACGATGGGGATTGTCGCGGTTCCTTAATTTGATTGTCGAGGCTATAACATCTCATTTCGTCTGAGGTCAATGAGCAATTAGGTTAGGTGTATGAATTGTAGGTACACGTTTTAACTAATTTGTTCACAAATTGCGTAGGAACAATATATATATATAGGACAAATATGTTATAATTGAAGGAACAATTAAATAACTAGATTACTAAAACTATTCTAAAAATCAAGCCGTTTATTTTTTTACAGTGTAAGTCTATCTAGAGCAGTTTTTTTTCTTGTCACGTAATATTAAGGCACCCATATACCATATTTTTTTTAAGTAATAAATAAAGCTGTATTATTTACTAACTTAAAAAATTAAGTAAAAATATTATTTTTTTATAATTTAAGACTTTCTTGTTAATGATATTGATATTTAATGTAGAAAATTTAAAAATAATATTTGTCATGTAATTATCGCAAATTAAAAGTTGATGAAATAATAAAATCACGTGAGTATAAACGCCATGATTGGTCATCATGGTTTAGGTGTCATAATGTTATAGCTATAGTACCTATATTTATTGTATTTATTATTTCTGTATCAACCGCTACAAATGAAAACTAAACATTATGACGTCATACGAGCTTGGGGATTGTTCGGAAGCTGTCGACGTGATTACGGTACTGGATTCAATAATTTATTTTTATTTTGAAATAACTTTTGAATTATTCCTTATAAAATAAAATTAAATAATTATTCTTATAAAACCCATATATTATGATCTGTTTATTTTTCAAACAAAAAATATTTCTCATTAAATTCTGAAATTTTCCATATTATTACTCAAACAAGCTCATAATCTTCTATATATATATATATCTTCTATCTTCTATATATATAAAAATGGATTGCTGTTCCTTAGTCTCGCTAAAACTCGAGAACAGCTGAACCGATTTGTCTAATTTTAGTCTTGAAATACTCCTGGAATTCCAGGGAAGGTTTAAAAGGTGAGAAAAATTGGAATAATTGCCGAGAAAACCCTAAAAACAGCCCTTTTCTATTTCCCATACAAACGTGTTTTTTTTTGACATTAGATTTGACAACTAACTAATATGTCAATCATTCTGTTTGATTGAAACAGGAAAAACCTGATTATTTATGGCCTCTAAAACGGAATAGAGTTCGCCTGGTCAGCTATACCTACATATATTACTCTTGACCAAACTAACGCGGACGAAGTCGCGGGCAAAAACTAGTACATATATAAAAATGGATTGCTGTTCCTTAGTCTCGCTAAAACTCGAGAACGGCTGAACGGATTTATCTTATCTTAGTCTTGAAATGTTCGTGAAGGTTCACGGAAGGTTTAAAAGCTGAAAAAAAATGATTCATTTCCGGGAAAACCCTAAAAACAGCCCTTTTCCATTTCCCATACAAACTTTGTTTTTGACATTAGATTTGACAATTAACTAATATGTCAATCATTCTAACAGACATTTCTTGATTATAGAGCGATATGAAGGTCGCCGGGTCTTCTAGTAATAAGTAAAAGTCTAAGTCAGCAAATTGTATTGTATAAATGAATGATTCCAAAATTTAAAAAAAGTTTGTATATTTTGGGTAAGAAATAGGGGAGCAACTTATTCAGAGGGAGTAACAAAGCCAAAAAGCTAATCCGTCTTTAATGTTAGGAATTTGAAGATGTGCATATTATTACATTCCCGACGACAATCCATTTAAATTACATGTTAGCACTGTGAACATTATAATTATGTAAAGCAATAAACAATTCTTGTTTTATATATTAGATATTATGGTCCGGTTCTCCTTTCCGTCCTTGAGAAGAACGAGGGCTTTTAAAAAATAAATATGATAATTTATTAAACTGTTATATAATAATATTAGACCTTACATATATTACTTTTATTCATATTGATTAAAATTACAAATTACTCAAAGCAGATAAACAGAAGCTATAAAAAAATACTAAATCTACATATTTCTAAACGAAAATCAAATTCACTGACGCTAACTTTGACAGCCCTTCGACGCCGCATAAATTTCGTTTACTTACGGTGTTCATGTGGATTATATTTTTTTAAAGATTTTAATATATTTAAACAATAGTATTCATTAACAACTCATCGTGACAAAAATGGTTGCGAGAGTAGCTGGTGTGTTTGACGAAAAGCTCACAGAAGCCATTGCGAATTCTAAAATCTTAGTAGTCGGTGCCGGTGGTATAGGTTGTGAGATATTAAAGAATCTCGTTTTGACAGGATTCCCTCAGATTGAAATCGTTCGTATACTATTTTCTTGTCATTTTCATTATATACGTGCATGTATTAAGTCTTATTAATCTTTTTCAGATCGACCTTGATACAATCGACGTAAGCAATCTAAATAGACAATTTTTGTTTCACAAGGAGCATGTGGGGAAATCGAAGGCACAAGTGGCTAAAGACAGTGCACTCAGTTTCAATCCCAACGTAAATATAGTTGCACATCATGACAGTGTTATAAGGTTAGTAATTATTAGGGGGTAAATGAACTGAACTGTCAAATACAATAACTGACATATTTGTGATGAAGAGATGAAAATATTTAAAAGTATTCTTATTATAACTAAAGAGAGTAGACAAAAACATTATTAACATAATTTTTACTACATTTAATATACCAAACTAATTTTGTTTAAAATTTGGTACATAAGTAAATAATTCTATACAAATAGATTGCTTTTTATAAATTGTATATGTAGTTAAAATGTATTATTATTTCTGGTTTCCAGTAATGACTATGGAGTGAGTTATTTCAAGCAGTTCAATATTGTCCTGAATGCTTTGGATAACCGTGTCGCAAGAAATCATGTCAATAGAATGTGTCTTGCTGCTAATGTTCCTCTTATTGAGACAGGAACAGCCGGTTACGCTGGACAGGTGATGAAATATAATGGTTATATCTCCTAGACAACTTTCTTTATCAATCTTCAATATATAAGCCAGACAGAAACATGTTATAATAGTATTATGGCTATTTTTTTCTGTAGTTCAATGTTTTTGAAAGTTGTACATAATATATAGTAAACCTACAAAGAATAATGGCCAGTATCAGTTGTAATTTATTAGTCTGTATGAATCTAATAAATATTGAGAAAAATAATATTTTGAGAACAAAGCGATAAATATCTCAAAAAGTAACATATTTCATTATTAAAAATAAGGTCCATGTAATTAATGATTCCTATATTTAAAAGAAATAATGTATTTATTTAATTAATATACTACTTTCAAAATGATATACCATCTGCAATCAATCATATATGTGAAAATTTCAATTGTTACAGTATTTATTATAATCTATCCTAAATACAAATATGTATTAATAAGTATATATATTTATAGGTGGAGCTCATAAAGAAAGGTGTGACACAGTGTTATGAATGCCAACCGAAGGCACCTCAAAAATCCTTCCCAGGTTGCACTATAAGGAACACTCCATCTGAACCAATTCATTGCATTGTATGGGCTAAACATCTTTTCAATCAACTGTTTGGTGAAGAGGATCCCGACCAGGATGTAAGTCCTGATACAGCAGACCCTGAGGCTGCTGGGGATGCAGGGTCAACGGCCCTAACATCGGAGACCAGTTCGGGAAATGTTGAGAGGAAAAGCACTAGAGCATGGGCTGCGGAAACCAATTACGACCCAGAAAAGTTATTTGCTAAGTTGTTTGGTGATGATATAAGATACTTATTGTCGATGGAGAATCTATGGAAGAAACGTAGGCCGCCCACACCTTTATCCTGGGATAGCTTACCGGGGAAAGATAATATAGAAATACAACATTCAGGTTTACCAGATCAAAGAGTGTGGTCTGTGTATGAATGTGCTCAGGTATAACATTTTTTATTATTATTGCTATTGCAATTACTATTTATTATTTTAATTGTAATATTAATATTAGGACTACATTTTATTTCCTAATGTTCCTTTGTTTTAGGATGAAAGATCTTTATATTCAATAATAAATTTTTGATTAAATCTATACATATCTCTATGTAATATACAAACTAAAAGCTCCTGCTAGTTGCATTATTTGGAACTGATATTAATGGATTTTATTTTATCTCTGTACCTAACAGCAGATTAATTATCAAAAATATTTTCCCTACAAAATGTGCATGATGGTAGTAAACATTAAATATTTAATGTTCATTCCATAAATATTTTAAACACTTGCTTCAGATTAAGGAATGTATGTTAAAATATATGTATAAAATTGACAACATATAATATCTACATGATTATGAAAATAGCATTCATTTTTGTGTCTCAAATTAAACAAAATATGCTACCAATCAGAAATTAATATTTAAATAATAAATTAACTATCTTAACCACAACAGGACAATTATTGAATATACACAGTCATGAGCTCGCCGGGTCCGTTAATTATTTATTAGATATTTAATAGGCCAATATTATTTTATAGGTATTTGCTGCTAGTTGCAAAGCTCTTCAAACAGATCTTAAAAGTCGTCCCGAAGGTGATCATCTGGTTTGGGACAAAGATGAGAAGAGTGCTATGGACTTTGTCACCGCCTGTGCTAATATAAGATCACATATATTCAATATTCCACTGAAATCACGATTTGAAATTAAATGTAAGTAGGAACTAGTACTGACAACTCAAAACATTGGGCTGACGATATAAAAGATTAGTAGGCAAACACTGGTTGTCAATTTCCCGAAATAGGGACAAATAGAAGGAATTAGAGGAGGCTTTTACCCGGAAGGCATTCATGTAAAGGAACAAATAGAAATATATTATATAATGAACATATTTATAAACTAACCTAAGCAATCTACTAACACTTTGTAATGTAACATACTTTACACTGTAATAAAAAGCTTTATTATTATATTATTATAAAAACTAGTACTTAGAAAATCTCAGTATAATAACTAACTATATTTATGATACCAATACTGAATAGCTTAGACTACAGATGAATATATTGTTTAAGTTTATAATAAGTTTTTTCTTTGTAGCAATGGCTGGTAACATAATACCAGCAATAGCCACAGCCAATGCGATCGTGGCGGGTTTGGCAGTATTACGCGCTCAGGCGTTACTAAAAGGAGAGATTGAAGCTTGTACCAGTGTTTATTTAAGACCTAAAGTCAACCACCGCGGACAACTATTTGTACCCGAAAAAAGTGAGTATCATTAAAATAAACTAAACTGATAAAAATGTAAATTTTGTTACAAGAAATTAAAATGTTCATTCTTTTTCAGCTTTAACACCACCAAATCCTAAATGTTATGTGTGCTCTCCAAAACCGGAAGTAGCTTTAGCATGTAATCTCAAACATCTTACACTTAAAGACCTCAATACGGCCTTCAAAGAAGGTCTTAACATGCAAGCTCCAGACGCTACAGTGGAAGGCAAAGGTCTTGTGGTGCTCTCATCTGAACCGGGCGAAACTGATCATAACAACGAAAAGACTTTAGAAGAAATCGGTCTAAACGACGGATGTGCCTTACTGGTTGACGATTTCCTGCAAAACTACGAAGTACGAGTGCGTTTACAGCAAGAAGACGAAGAAAAAACATGGCGTTTAGTGACAGACGCAGATTCGCCAATGCTCGGACCGAAAGAGGAAAAAACCGCCAATGGTTCGAGCGGTTCCGAACCGAAACCCGGTCCGTCACGCTCCAAGGAAGACAGCGATAGTGACATGGAAATAATTGAGGAAGACGACGACGGCGAACCGAAACCGAAACCACCAAAACGTCGGAGAACCGAAATGACAGACGAAGTAGTCGAACTATGCTAGTACAGTAAACTGATGTAAACACTACTGAAGTATATATCAAGTACCTTAATTGTTTGCAATGCTGATTTGGCAAAACCTTAGATAAAGTAATGATAACTATGTAAAAAAACGCAGTAACAAAACAGTGTTCACTTGTATAATCTCTGAGTATCTCTAAGACGTGTATCTTCAAGTATAGATTTTTGTATTTTTCTTACGATCTTAAATTTTAGAACAAAAAATCAAATAAGTGCATATTGTTATATAAATAGCGGGAAATTATTAGACATAGTAATCCTCCAAAATTGTTAATGTTATCTTTAATGAAACTATTTAATCCCTACTAATATTATAAATGCGAAAGTAACTCTGTCTGTCTGTCTGTCTGTCTGTCTGTCTGTCTGTCTGCTACGCTTTCACGCCTAAACCACTGAACTGATTTTAATGAAATTCGGTACAGAGATAGAGTTGACCTTGAGAAAGAACATAGGATAGTTTTTATCCCAGACTTTTGAAAGGTTCTCTTGGAAACGCGATATAACCGAACTCCACGCGGCGAAGCTGCGGGCGGAAAGCTAGTGATATATATTTTTAGGCGTAGATAAGAATAATTGTCGTAATTTAAGGTTTGCTAAATATTGTATTACTTGATAAATAAATCTCACAAAACAATAACGTTTACTAGTTTTCTTATTTGAAGTTAAAAATGTGTTAAAATACTAAACACGAAACTTTTAATACTTTTTTTGTCCTTAAAAATAAACAGAAAAAATATTTGAAAATTAAAATTAGCCTTAACAGTTACCGGCACGTATTGTGTCAAAGTTTAGGCGTAGCGGGGATAACTTATGTTAGTGCAACAAAAAGTGGTCACTTGATGCTTATCAAAAATAAAAACTTGTAAAATAGTAACAAAAACATTTAGCCCAATTTAAGTGCACGCAAGTGTACTCGAGAGCGTGGCGACCTCTAGTGACCTATCACCTATGAGACCTAAAAATCCATATATTTAAGTGATAAACTCTGAAGATACTCTCAAACACAATAAAACAACTCAAATATGTTCTTTTTTTTATTAGAAACACAACTTAAACAATAATTTTAGTTACTAGACACTTACATTTCTATGAACAAAAGGGTTCTCTTAAAAATATTGTAAACCTATCAATTATGAGAGTTGAAATAAATGCAACTGTAAAATTCATTAAGTAATTTTGATTAAAAAACTTAAATAGAAAAATATTTGCACTTTTTATAAGTTAATAACACTAATTACTAAGAATTACAGCGTCAATTCTAGTGAAAGTTACAAAAAGTACCAGTAAAGTGTTATGTGCATTACATTAATAAACTAGCAAAAACTCATTATTTATAGTTGTGAAGGCGACATTTCTCACTTTCAATTTTCCTTTTTTTCTAAGACTACTTTTATATTCATCATAAATTGTAAAAATTAATTCCTTAGTTTAGAATTCTGAAATCTTCGCAAAATCAGATTACAGTTGCTTTACAAATAAATCTATCATGCACAGACTTGAGTCAGTATATCAGGCATTCTGTATATTTATTATTTAACACTCCTATTGGTATGAAAGAGACATCTATTTGGTTTCCTTAACAAAATCCTTATTAGTGTTTATTTTAACTAAAAGAGGGATAATTTATTGTAAATCCTTATTTTAGTCAAATGTATCCTCCTCATCTTTATAATAACATATCAAAAACAGCTACTATGGTCAACACTGATGCTGTCTTAAATAGCCGATACTCAGATGAAATCTTTTAACTATTTTTAAATATTTTTTTTATACTAGCAGTACATAATATACGCTTTGTCATAATTAAAATTCCAAATGACTAAAATGTCCTATTTAAGTATATTTAAATTACTGTTTTTATAGCTTTTAATGGTTTGGCTGTAGTATGGGTAGTGTAAATGGTTCATTACATATTTATTTCAGATCTATATTGTATTTTGACACTGAAGCTCTAATTCTATATATGGAGAGGCTAATACCAAATACTAGTTACTCTTTTGCTATTATTATTTTTTACTCTCAAAGTGAAACCCAACTTATTTCAGATATATTATATTAAAAACATCTCTCCTCAGAAATTTTTTAAATTCATTTTTACTTACTACACAAATTCTACAAAGATTTGTCCAAAATTGGCAGCATCAAGTTGTCACAAATTTTGGTGAATTTTTAAACAAAAATATGTAATATTTTTGAATTAAATTAACAATAAATTGGTGGTGCCATTTAAGTTAAACTTAAATAATAATAAAATGCTTAGCATATCACACTAAACGAAAATAGAATGATTCATCTTTGATGCTCTGTTGTAATACTGATAAACAATATAGTAATTTATTAAAACAACACAATCTCTACAAACAAAATTGAATTTATAAAAACATCAAACACAGTTTAATTTTCAGGCAGCATACCATATTCTATGAGAAACTTTTCTACATTTGTAGCAAAGAAATCATTCCCAAGTTCTTTTGCTAACTGAACAAAATTACCAATAATTTGGCCACCTTTATACACAAGCAGTGCTGGGACACCTTCAACACTAAAGTGGCGACTTAAACCGGCTACATCAACTGCTATTCTACAGAATTTAACTGCCGGATAATCTGATGCCAATATACTTAAACAACCATCCATGCTCTCACAAGCTTTGACATTGTGTCCATATATGTGTATAACCACTGTTACTTTAACGTCTTCCTTATCAATAGCACTCAAGAAATCATCTTGGTTTTTCAGCGTTTGAAGCTTGCCAAATTTAGGCGCTTTCTGTAATTGCGCCATGAGTTCCTGCATTCTTTGTTGTTGGTACTTCATAAGAAAACCTTCATCAATTAATTCGTCTAATTCATCTTCCAATTCATCGATTTCTTTTTCTTTATCCTCTTCTTGGACTGTTTTTACCGTCATAGTAAGCTTTTTAGCTAAAGCAATGCGCTCTTTGGCTAACTCTTCTCTGTTCTGTGCTTCTAATTCTTTAAATCTTCTCCAATCTTCTAAAACCCCTTTAGGGCCTGTGTTGGTTGCGGAACCGCTCCAATTATTAACAGGAGGTGGCTCCGATGGCTCCTGGCACCTTTTTAAAGAATTTTCTTTCTCATCTGAGCTTTGGCAATCTTCATCATCGGAACCTCCTTCATCTTCGCTACTGCTACAATAGTTATGAAGTTTTTCTCCCAATATTTTGTCCTCTAAAGTAGCCATTTCAGTAATGCACAGTCTAGTTTGTTGTAATTTAAAAGGCTACGTATATTTCTTCAAATTAAATAAACACTTGTCGCTACTGCGAATATACCTAATGAACTATACAATATGAACTATCAACAATTCAACAAATAACCATAAACAATCTACTATTTTATCTATGCTACAAAATTGAATTTATCTTGAGAGTAAAGAAATATTTTAAGTTCAGCATTTCAAAGTATGGACTAAATATGATCTATTATGTCTATCACAACGCTGCCTTCCGAGCAATCCGATCACAGTTAGCCACCTCCCTTTAGAGTTTAGAGCATTATTAGCTAATAGAAGGGAACCACAACTCATCAAATCTCCATACGTTAAAAAAAATAATTTAAAAACTAAAAATTAATTCTATTCATATAGTATTCCTATAGAATATTAAGAGGTTTATTTAAAAACATTGAATAAAATTAGTTATAATTAGTCTTTTAGCTTTAGTTGTGGTTTTACAGTGTGCTATAAGCTATATCACATTGACAATTGTCATTTGTCAAATAACGACGCGAACGTGAAGCGTTTTGCTTTTAAGCGGCTTTTATTGTTAGGTTACTAGTTAAGTGAGTATAAACTTATATTATTATAAATATGTACAGTGACTATTCTAAACAATATGTTCACATAACTTCTAACATTATTGCATTTCCAGACATTCGCGATGGCGGCGTCAATGCCTATAAATCCTAAACCCTTTTTAAATAGCCTAACAGGAAAGGCTGTATTAGTCAAATTAAAATGGGGACATGAATATAAAGGACTTTTAGTGTCTGCCGACGGTTATATGAATTTGCAATTAGCAAATACAGAAGAGATAGTCGATGGCTCTTGTACAGGTTAGTCATAACATAGCTATCTGGTTGGTTCTAACACATTTTTTTTAAATAAAATCTATATAGAAAACAAAGAAAAAAGTAATTGACAACTTAAATTTTATTAGCAATTTCAAGAAGTTAATTGTCTTAAAATTTAAACAGATGCTCCCTGGCTCAAGTCATAGAATATTCATGGCATTCTTTTTAGTAAATGGTCATATGAAGTATATTTTGCTAATTCTCAACATTGTTTAAAGTTCAAAATCATATACTAAGACAAATTCTATTTCAGGTAATTTGGGAGAAGTTTTAATTAGGTGTAATAATGTGCTGTATGTAAGAGGTGCCGAGGAAGAAGATGAAGAAGGAGAAATGAAAGAATAACAGTTGTATATAAACTAAATACTAAAATAAGTGATGTAACATGGACAATATTGTAATAAAACCTTTTACTATCATCATTATTAACAAACAAACCACCAAATTGTTCCAATATACATTGGAAGTTCCATGTAATTTAATATAAGATTATTAAGTATACTTTAAGCACTGTCATTTGTTTTATTTTATGCAATTAATTTAATGGTATGAATTAATGTGTACCTGTTTGGTTATATTATTAAAAAAAAACCTCAAATCACATTTGACTCAAGATTCCCACTTGACCGCTTTTTAACAATGATGATTTTTTGTACCCAAAATATGGTTTCAATATTGATGTACTTGTTAATTAAAGTATGTACTCATAGAAGTCATTTGACAACTTGAATCTATATGTTAAGTCTTTTTAAAATATTATTAACAGTACTCAAGATTATATTTCATCCAGTAAATACAAATGTTGACATAAGAAAGATAGTCCAAACTCCAGTGTGAATGAAGACATATCATTAAATAAAATACATATAATAAAGGAAATAAAATATAAACAAGCAGCATTCTTATATACTTATAAACATATATTTACATAATCACAACATTGATCACACATACAAGGCCTACGATTTTCATATACACATAAATGCATTAAAAGAATTACAGATTTGAAAAGATTTGTGCTACGGTTAATATATTACTGAATATAATTAAATATTGAAGAAGATCAAAAGAGAAAAAATGATTAACAAAATTTATATCTTAACTATGTTTATAAGGCATGATCTTTGTGTATAGTAATTATTCTATATAATCTGTAATCATTATATGTATGATAATTCAAATATCCCTTATTACACAACACTCGATCCACATTATTGCTTATAACTAAAATAATCACAGAGAAAAAAATACATTATACTATAAAGAGTACTAATTACAAGAAAAATTGTTATTAAACTTGTTTAAATGATATAAATGTGCATTCCAAACTTTAAGTCTCAATATAAATATATTTGTCCAATTATAATTACTAACCTCTATATTGTAACTTTCTCTCTAGTTTTTCAATTATATATTTTTTATGTATTTATTAAAATATTTCAATATGTTATTCTAAGAGACAAACTTCTACATGAACAATAAAACTCACACATACTATAAGGCAGTTTTTAGATTTTGTAAATAATTCTCTGATATTTCTTTTAAATTATTATCAAATGGTCAGAAAAAGTATGTCCTGTTTATTTTAGTTTAAGAGGAATAACTATGATTCTAATTATTAATATCAATCAATAAAAGTATGCTGTGATAGCAATAAACCTTCTATCAAGGAAACTTTGTTCTATTTCTACAGAACCAACCGCTTCTTGTGCCAATGATAATATCTGAAAATAAATATACAGAACGAAAATTAAGTAAATAACAAGTTATGTCCAAAGTAATCAAAGTCCAAACAGAACTATGTTGACGCCAACGAAAAACGATAAAAAATGTAAACCAAAATTAAGAGTACTTTATTTTTTTGGAACAAGATGGTACAATTGTTTGAATCCCTATACAGAACTTGTATTATTAATATTTTCTTATAAATTATTGTTTTTCTAAGACTATGTAATTTTATAGTTTTCTATGTAGTACCTGTTCCGTCCTCGTATTTCTCGGCAGGTACAATGTGACGTTAGTATTAATGTGCCGCGCCACTCTCATCAACTGTGAAGCCGGTTTGGGTTCCAGCATTGTTTCTATACAGTATTCTGTGTTCTGTAATAATGAATCAAAATTTAAATAATTACACTTTTAATTGTATTTAAAAGGTATTTAGAAATGTTATAAACACGAGTAATTTTTATTTTACTTGTTTGTTAAATGGCCTTTATAAAAGACTTACTTAAATCACAACATACAGAAACATTTAAATCATTTCATCATTTGTATTTAAAATACCTAACATAGACCCAGTATTTTCTGTATTAGTCAAAAATTATAAAAAAAAATATCGATATTAAGTATTTAAGAATTTTAAATTACCTGAGAATAGCTAGGTCCACCCCAGGGCGGACTTAGAAACACCATATCAGCTGTCAATGTGTGCGCTAACTCGAAGAAATCACCAACAATGAACTGTATTCTATCAGAGACGCCGTACACCGCCGCGTTGTGTTTCGCCATTTCTATTTTTACTGGATCTATGTCTATGGCGATTACTGGGAAAACAATGATATATTAATGATAATTTTTATAATTTTGCTGAATATTTGAAGAATTTTGTCTTAACGGAATCAAAGATGAATTGAAATAAGACTTTTTCTCTCAAACAAAGAAGTTATTTGCATTAATATTATATATGGTGTCTGTGATTTATTTTATAGCATTATTTCTTAAACTTACAAAGAAGCAGATATGTTATGTATTATATGCATACATAGATAAAGTAGTATAATTATATGAGTTCTCATTTTTTTATAATTTCAGAACATATCTTAAATTATGTTATAAAGATATAGTTACGGTTATAATTAATTACAGTATTTCCATAAACCTCTTATATTATAGGCTTACTGTTAGGCTAACAGTGATTTTTTAAAGTATAAACGCTTCTTCATCCAGTGTAAGTCACTAATTCCAGTTCTTCATACGATCATCCTTTTCCATTTATAAACTCACAATACCAACCTTTCTTGCTAGTTTTAGCAAACTGTATTGTATTTCCACCGGCGCCACAGAACGCATCCACGACCACATCATAATGACACTTATTGGCTATATGTCGCGCTACGTTTTCGGGGGTCACGCTAAACCAGCTCTCACGATCCAAACGTATGCCGTCGTCAAACCTGTAATTTGCAATGATAAATTTAGTGTGTGAAAATTAAATGTTATCTAGGGAAAGATATGCTTTATGGTCTTTAAGATATTTTAATATTTATTTTGAAAGATAGTTAGCAAAAATAGTAACTAAAAAAAATTGAAACATTTTTTAGGTCAACTTTTGTATAAGTATGTGCAAACGTATAAATATGTTCTAAGTTTCAATCATAACACTGAATTTATACAATAAAGGTCGACCTATTTATATCTTTTTCTCCATCAAATACTTTTCGTAATGAAAAAGTTTTTGTGAAAAGAATGAATGGATGAATTGCGAGGAAAATATTATAAACTTATATTTTATCGCATTCAAACTTTTGAAGTCTGTTAAGACGGTTATTATTATTTTATGATCCGTAAAATATTCTGGAAAGCAATGTATTTTGTAACTTATAGAAACTTCAGTCACAATATGAATTTTTTTGTACAAGTTTAGAAAATGAACAAAATTTTCAGAAAAAAATAAATTTTTATTTTACACTAGCTGACCCGGCAGACTTCGTACTGTATCAATCAAGAAATAAATAATGTCTTATTTATTTTTTTAGAGTTTACCTATTAAAGCCATAAATCTCCGTGTTTTGAAGTGCGACAGAATGATTGACATATTAGTTAGTTGTCAAATCTAATGTCAAAAAAACATTTGTATGGGAAATAAAAAAGGGCTGTTTTTCAGCTTTTAAACCTTCCCTCAACCTCCACGTACATTCCAAGACTAAAGTAAGATAAATCCGTTCAGCCGTTCTCGAGTTTTAGTGAGACTAAGGAACAGCAATCTATTTTTATATATATAGAAGAAGAAGATGAATATTATGAGACATTCTGTCAAATAAACCTACCTATGAAATAGCGAGTGTCTTTTCTTCCAATACTTGAGCATTTTAGGTTCCCCCTTCAATTCTTCGGGCATATCTGATGATTCTTCTACATTTTTATACCTCTTTTGACGACGTTTACGCTTTGTTTGGTCTAAAGCTACATATAAAGATAAAGTTATTAACTAGTGACTAGGTAGTTTGACAATTCCAAATAATATATGTTATACATAATTTCTAAAATATTTTACATATATACTCACTTAAACCTTCAGGATTTTCGACTTTCGTCTCATCTATTGCTGTTTCAGACAAATCTACACTAACATCTGCTTCACAATCATTTTGAAGTTTTTTACGATTATTAGATTTCTTATTCTTCGATTTCTTTTCCTCAGTATCAACGTTTTTAACTTTTTCAATATCAGATTGTATTTCAGGTCCATCGTCATCTGTTTGCATTTCACAATCGTCTTGTGATTCTTGGCTCTGTAAAATTTATAAGCATATAAACGATTTAAATTAATTTAAAGACAGTACCAAATTATATTTACCTGATATGGTTTTTCGTCCAATGTGTATGAATTACCGTCGTCATCGAAGTAAGTTTTCTTGGCAGCCGCGAATTTCTTGTATCGAGGCGGACGAAGTTTACCGAATTTATTTCTGTAAATCAATTCCCCTTTCGGTATTTTCGCTGCGTCTACTGAGAAGCCCATCATGTCTATTGTCGTTTTTATCTTCTCGGAAGTATCGTCTTCATCTAATTGGTGACTGAAATATATATCATAGTAAATCGCGGGTTTATTTATTATTTGTATTAAAATATATTTACCTTCGTTTTAAAGTAGTTGGTCTATCTTCATACGGATCATTCCCGTCTCCTTCGTCATTATGTTGAACAACGCTGGTGTTTGTTTGAACATTATTAATACTAGTTCTGCTTTCAAGGTTTAGTTCCACTGTATCACCGGTTTTTGATTTATCATCGCCAGCGTCTATCGGTTCATTAGCTTCTTTTTCTTTCTGATCTCTTAGAAGATTTTGTAACAGAACTCCGACCGAGCTTATAACGCGGTTGCTTGCTTTTTTCCCTCTCTTTTTTGGTTTCGGTTTGTCGTCTAATTTTATTTGATTGATTTGTGTCTGAACTTCAATCACCGACGGCATTTCTAGAGAATTCCCCTCACTGTTTTCGCATTCAACATCAACAATTTTGGTTTCTTCAATTTTGTTTTCAATGTCGCTCGTATTGATCTGTATTGCTTGGAGTTCATTGTAGCATTCTATATATTTAGCGTAATGCAACGCGTACTGCTCCCCGAAATGTTTCTTCCAAAGGAACTGCCAATAGTCATCTGTGTCTATTTCTTCTGATATTTCTTCGTTATTTTCCTCAATGTTTTGTATTCGGGTTTGATCATTGAATTGATCATCGGAAGACGTTGACGAGGACATGCTATATTCGCCTGTAGGTGTTGACTCGGAAGTCACGTGACTTGAAGTGACATTATAACTGGACAAAGTAAGTTTTGTCACATTAGTCATTGAATCAGTTCCTGTTAGCGTCCAAGGACTGAGTATACGATCGTGTTCCGACAACGACCGTCGTCTACGCAATGCGTCGTCTTTGTTTGCGCTTTGATTATTCTTATCACTTTTGTCTTCGACAGAATCTTTAGTTTTGTATGGATTCACTTTGGAGTCATATGAAAATTTCCTTTCCCTTCTCTCATTTTCCGCTCCGTTACTTTCAGTGTGATTGCAAATGGGTTCAACAGATTGTTGTTTCGGTAGACTATTCTCATCCATAATGAGATCATTATTTTCCTCTAGATACGAAGGATTGATGTAGTCACTGTATTTCTTTATCCAAGAGGCCCAAATGATCCTCTCACCATTAAATTGCCAAAACTTTTCCCATGTATCTTGTGATAAATAATTTTCATTTGTATCAGAGTCATTTGAGTAGTCTTTATCAATTTTCTCAACTTTCTCATGTGTAATGTAGTCGGAATGGCAATCTTGATATGTGAGATCAGCACCACTATCACTCGGTTGTAGAGGATGTGAGGGGTAGTTGTGCATATGTGATGGATCAAGTTCGTCAGTCGAACAATAGTTTTCTGTGTGTGAAGCACTACAATAACAGCTAGCACTTTCATCTTTCTGTTGATTGAGAAATTATTATCACATACATCTTTTGGATTAACTTAATTTTATTTGACAAACAATAGGATTTAGAATAGGCTAAGATCTCAATAAATGTATTATATTTTTAGTTATGTTTATTTTCAATATCATATTAATAAAATGTTATTTGTTAATGTTAGTTACTCTCATAAATGTTATAAAAAACTAGATATTAGTATTATTACCTCACACTTCACTTTATATGAAGTATCCACAGAAAAATGCACATGAGATTGATCATCAACCTGCGACTCTATCACTTCAGCATCACTCTCACTTCCACATTCCTTGTCTCCAAGATATGTCTTAACATCCCTACAGTTAATACATGTGGTTTTGTTTTTAAATAATTAATAAATATTTTAATGTACAATAAATATTACTAATAGATAATTTCTAAGTCAGGTTATTATTTAAATAGAAAAAATAGTTTAAGTGTGTAAGACTTATTTCAGTCTTAATAACAAATATTTGAAATAAAAGGACTTTAAATTCCGGTTTGGAAATATTTTAAGAAAAACAGGAATACAGTCGTTTATATAGAAAAAACTGTAATGCTTACTAACCTTATAAAAGCACGGCTACATAAACAATAAATATAATTGTCGTCGTACATTTCTTCATTTTCGTCGATATAAAAATTAAATTCTGCTAAAGCTTCCCACCGATGATAGTGACTATAATACTCAGACATTGTGACTTAAAACCTATAAATAATAGACTTATCTTCACTATTCACACTGTTATTTGTTATTGATTTTAAATAAAATTTAATGCAATTCTCAAATAATCGAAACAGCCCCACTAGGTGTTAGGTCAAATTCAAATGACATTTTATGTCAAAATGTAGGATAGCAATGTTGCTATGAACAACCACAACTTTTATAAAATCTACATTTTTTACTTTTATTACTTTCGACTAAATGAAAAAATATTCTGGCATTTTCTTCAGATACATAATAAGAATATATATTATTTGTTCTATATTAGGAACTGAAATGATCTTGCCCTTATCTTCAATACTTCAGTGTCTCCAGCTGATTACTGAGTTTGACACTTGACAGTTTATATATCATAAACACGTTTCTGTCTTTCGCGCATTGAATAGTTGTATATTATAACCATATTTTCGGTAAAACATATAGGTTGAAAATTTTTAGAAGAAAATAATTTCTATATTATAACATGGGAAAGAAAAATAAGGATTCACTTGGACGAGCTCTTATCAAAGATCGATACGCAAAAAATCGCAATCGTAGACATGTTGAAGACAATACATTGGTAATTTATATATTTATTTACATATTTATTTTTAATTAGTTACTCGTATCATATATAAAAAAAGTGATAGAGCAAAGTTTGTTGAAAATGGAATTTCTTTTAATGATTTCGTAGTTTCTTTAGTGTAATAGTAACAACATCGAAACTTACAAGAACCGCTTTATTTATAATAATTTTTCATTTTATTTTAAGTTACACACCACAGAAGTTAACGATGGATATGATTGGGGGCGACTGAATTTACAATCTGTAACCGCAGAATCATCGTTACAAGAATTTCTCTCAACAGCAGAGCTTGCAAACAGAGAGTTTGTTGCAGAAAAGCTTAATGTCAAATATGTGAAATCAGCGCCGTGTGAGGTGGAACTTGTTACCTCACAACCTGAATTTGATGAACCTCTCACTGTTCCGAGGAGGTAAAAAAATGTAGTTACTTAATAATAAAATAAACACATATTAATTTTAACAATATTTGATATATGAAAATGAGATGCTATACTAATATTATCATGTATTCCAGACCACCATGGAAACCAGGCATTTCAGCTGAAGAACAAATTACAAGGGAAAGAGATGCTTTTCTAGAGTGGCGAAGGCATTTAAATGAGTTACAAACTAAATTGGGTGCTGCGGTCACACCATATGAAAGAAATCTTGAACTTTGGAAACAATTGTGGAGGACTTTGGAGAAATCTGATGTTGTTTTAATACTTTTAGATGCAAGAAATCCACTTTTATTTAGGTAATAGTGTCATATATTCATTAGTTTAATAATATTCCAAAATTATGAATTTGAAATTGATTGTAATGAGAAATTAATCCACATTGTAATTATAAAGTATGGAATACAAATGCAAATTTAAATTAAACTAAGTTTTGTATTCTTATAACAAATGCTTAAACAATATATGTTTAAACTTTAAACAATACATGTTTATAAAAAATGGTTGGTTGTAAAAGCTAAATGTTTCATACACTAAGTATAATTTATAATTGTGTTGACAGGTGTTTAGATCTAGAAAAATATGCATCAGAACAAAACTGCAAATGTATCCTGTTGTTGAATAAAGCTGATCTCACAACTGAGTATACTCGGAAGTGCTGGGCGGAATATTTTGAGAAAGAGGTTAGTATCCCTAGTAATATTATAAATGCGAAAGTAAGTCTGTCTGTTACGCTTTCACGCCTAAACTACTCAACTGATTTTAATCAAATTTGGTACAGAGATAGAGTTGACCTTGAGAAAGAACATAGGATAGTTTTTATGCCAGACTTTTGAAAGGTTCTCTTGAAAACGCGATATAACCGAAATCTACGCGGGCGAAGCTGCGGGCGGAAAGCTAGTAGCATATATTAGTAATGTTTTAAATACTAGGAGATGCGCCATTACTTTTTTTCTCTTCACTGGAAAAAATCCTCTCAGTACAAGTAGCGTTTATCTTATGGAGTAGCTAGTTCTGATTTTCTTAATCATTCCATACACTGCATATGTGGTATAGATATTTTATTTATTTATACTAGTGAGTACACCTCCAAAGTATTTTGAACTTACATATACAGAAAGTATAATATTGAGGGAGGATATTTTATTTAATGGTCATGTCAAAGGTTGCTATTAGGAATACAATGGCTTTTGAATACTCTTGTAATTCTTTTATAGCTGTTTTTGTAACAAATTTGTATACTTCTGTGTAGAATAAAAATAATATTATAATAAGTTTTGCTTAAAACAGAGGATTTTATTCATTGTATGGCCATATTATCTGTATTTTGTGAGAATTGAAAGACAAAGGAAAATTAATGTTTATTTCTAAAAATCAAATGCCTTGACGTAAAATTTTAGGAGACTTTAGCGATATTTCCAATAAAAGATATACAAAAATTTATTTAAATTTCCCTAAACCATCAAGCTCCATCTTGCTACAATTTACAAAATTTTAAGTTTTTCATCACATAATGTGTAATTAATGAATATTTAAAAATAAATAAAAATATTCTTGCTACAGGAATTTTAAAATAAACAATGTTTAATTAATGCATATTAAATTAAAAAAAACTGTAATTGCCTATTTTAACACTGATAATTATATTTTCGTATGTTTTCTGTAACCGCTGCTATATAATATTTCTGAAGTGGAGTTTCTTACTGACGCTTCATTTGGCGAATAAACAATAACGAGACTCGAGAATGTCATGAATAGTGATTGGTCCGGTAAAAAGTAAAGAAAAAATTTGGTAGTGAAGATAGTGATAGAGAGACAGAATATTATGTTTTGCATATGTATTAGTGTTGAGTGAGAATGAGATATGTGAGCACAAACATTTTTAATGAATAACTTGAAACTGTGTAGCAAGTTATAATCTTTTTTCCACATGTATAGTTGGTGAGAAGTTGTATAAAAAATAATAAAATATAAAATCCTTTTCAGAACATTCCAATAATATTTTTCTCGGCCGCCAAAAGTTCGAAGGAAAGAAAGATATCAGAAGACTCTCAAACGGAGAAAGATGAAATTGACTCGGGAACGGAATCTGCTGAATCAGAAGAAGATACAGATGACCAACATGACCCTGATGAAATAAAACAAACACAAGACGATATAGAACAGTTTAAAAGACAATTAGGAGATCTGAATACAGCTGTCAATAACACAGCTAACAAAATAGACGCCGTACAAGAAGCGTTGGATAGAGTTATGGAATGTTTAAGGCTTGGAAAACCTATTGAACCTTTTCTATGTAATCCAGAAAAGACCACAGATAATAAACAGGTTGGAGATTGTGATACAGATAAAAAAGAGGATAACATAGACACAGATAATAAAGTTGAAAACTCGCATGAGATATTTGGAAGAGATAAATTGTTAGAAGTTTTAAAGACATATAAAGGAAAAGAATTAAAGAACCCTCCCAGGGTAACAGTTGGAATGATTGGTTATCCAAATGTAGGAAAATCTAGTTCTGTTAATGTACTGATGCAAACCAAGAAGGTTAGTATTCGTTTTTGGAGAGTTTTAGAGTTATTCAATAAAATTAAGATATTATTGAAATAGCAATGAAATATAATTCTTAATACAATAATTATATAAATGAAATGATATTGATGTATTACATACATAAGAAACTTGTACTTCATTGTATGCAACATACTATAATAATACAATGGTATATATTTGACAGCCAGTTTTCACAACTGACATATCTAACATTTACATATATGCATGTTGAGCACTTGTGTGTGTGTGTGTGTGTGTTTTAATACATATATGTATGTAATTCTTCAATTTTTCCAGGTGAGTGTGTCCTCAATGCCCGGCCACACGCGTCACATCCAGTCCCTTATAGTTGACAGTGAGGTGGAAGTGTTAGATTGTCCTGGTCTAGTGTTGCCAGCCTACGCGGTCGCACCAGACTTATTATTGACAGCTGTACTGCCTATTGATCAGGTTTGACATTTGACATTTAATGTTATACTAGCTGTCCGCCCGCGGCTTCACCCGTGTGGAGTTCGGTTATATCGCGTTTCCAAGAGAACCTTTCAAAAGTCTGGGATAAAAACTATCCTATGTTCTTTCTCAAGGTTAACTCTATCTCTGTACCAAATTTCGTTAAAATCGGTTCAGTGGTTTAGGCGTGAAAGCGTTACAGACAGACAGATTTACTTTCGCATTTATAATATTAGTAGGGATTATATTTCTTTGATTTAGTCTGCTGTAAATTGTATTTTAATTATAAATATATTAATAGAAATTGTAATTAGAATTTGTTTGGATAAAATGTGACACCTTAAAAATATAGATTATATAAAATTTGATGTTTTAAATTATTTGCATTCAAATATGCTTGGAGACATATAGTTATGATGATCAGGAATGGATTCTGTTATAAATTAGTTTATTTAATAAATAATAACATTATAAGCAACAGAAATATGCATGTTATAATTCATAGGCGTATACTTCATGAGTCTGACAGATATGTGTCATGTATATGTCAAATTTTAATTATGTAGATTTATTGCTATGAATTACTACGATACTGTCAGTACGTAGGTTGATGTATAACTCGTATTAAATACTTCGATCATTTTAAACTTATCATGCCAGAAATCGTCTCCAGTACTATAGAGAAGCTAATGAAAAATTTACCTTAAAATTTACTTTTTTGCCTTTTATATCTTGTGGATCATGTAATGAAAGGTAATTGAGTATAGATATTTGTATTGTCATATATGAAGTGGTATTTTGGTTATGTACATATAAACCACTTACGAATATATATTATATTAATATACAGGGTGACTGGTGAATTACTATCGATACTTGAGGACGTGATATTTGACGATCATATATGACAAAATAAAAATTAATATAACATAAATATTAATAAACTTCTAAGTAAAGTTAACCAAAAGTTATGTAATTAATTACGCATCGTGTGAACACCCTACAGATGAGGTATACATCCACACTCACACATACGTGGTGTTGTATCAGCACGCCGCCGCACGCGTCCACACTCGGAACACTTGGAACGTGTCAACACTTTATTTATTTATACGGAAATTTTGTCAAAAATTAAGTGCCTAATTTTTTTACATAATTCGAATGAGAATCATGTACCGAGTATTCTCCTTAAATATTGATAGTAATTCACCAGTCACCCTGTATATGTGTTGTACAATTTTTTAGTTTTACAATTTCGGCATGCAATGACAACTCTAGATTTTTTGTATAATTCTATAAAAAATTGTTTTCTTCTTTATAATAATTATATGTCATCTTATATTTAGCTGCCAGTATATTTGTTTCTAAAAAGGTTATATAATTTTTATATATTAAATTGGTTACATATAATTTACCATATTTAATTGTTATGACGAAATTACAGTTCGATGGTAGAATGGCGACTCTGCGACAGAACATATTATAATAATGTATTAAATTGACAATGTAGCATATCGAATATCGACTTGCTTCTAGGTGGCATTATGGACAGTGATTTTTGCTTACATTAATAAAAGATAATACGTAGGCACACTTTTATAAGATACATATTTCTATTCACTTATCATATATATAATATTATTTCTAGATGCGTTCACACGACGCGGCCATGGCTCGACTCTGTCAGTTAGTAAGTAGACAAGTTTTCTCCCAAAGATACGGACTACTTCTACCAGAATATGATGACACTTCAATGGAATACAAGAAGATACTCACAGCACACGCATGTAAGTCATTAATCATTATATACTGGTTTTATTACGGTTAAGAATATTCTGCGGATAATTTTTCTACTCTATGTTAGATAAAGTCTATGACATTATACCGTAGAGTCAATCATAGTTACAGATAATCCCATGGTAATTACTGAAACTAAGCATCAGATTAAAGTATATATATTGTTATTTCGACTATTTCTGAACAAAAAATGTATACACTTTGTATGCCTCATAATCCGATATGCTCTATTACCAATTGTATATTTTTTTGACAATCTTCATTAATGTATGAACAAACTAGTTATAACTTGTCCGCGCCACTATTGTGTTCGACGTGTCTTGATAGCTTGTGATGAAGGTAGCGATATTTGTTCTTCAGAATAATTACTTATAACATATAAATCTGTAATACGTCGGATACAAGGAACTCTTGTCAAAAAATCCAAGTTATAAAAGGTCTTAGATAGTCTATAATTCGACAAATAATTAACTCGATACTTTAGTCATATTTTTGAAGTAAAACTTTTTTTACGGACGCTTGGGGGTAAAATTATGAAAGCGTTACGAAAAATGTGAACGGGCGAGGCGAACGAAAGTGAGAGGAAGATCTACTTTACATATTATTTCTTTTTTTTTTCATAGACAGCCAGTTAGTAATTCGTTTGCGGTTTTCTTCCGTTACGCATATAGATGGAGCGAAAAAAGTTTTATTTAGTCGTGTGGTCTAAAAAAACACTGGTCTTCATTATTTATTATTTTATTTTTTAAATGTACTGTAATTATATCTGTAATATTAATTACAATAAAATAAAATTAATATTTTTTGGGTTTACTGCTCGTTATTTCGGTTACTTTGTAGCAACCGTAATCACGTTCTAAAGAGAGTATGTTGTTAAAAATAATTATAAACGCGTAGTAAATCGGAAGAAAAATTAATTTTATTTAGATGAATGGTCGATATAATCTTAAATATCATTACATATTGATTTAAATAAAACTAAAATTTTAAGGATGTAGTATGTCTGCCCGTGATCACGGTTGCTGTATGTAAAGTAGCCGAGCATGTAGTCGTCGGGAGTATGTAGTTTTTTACAAAAATAAAGTCGTGTAGTATAATCCGAAAAATATTAGTTTCATTTAAATGAAAAAGACTCCCGAAAATCTTTAATTTCATAACATATTAATATTTAATTATTACAATCAGTCAACCGCGGGTTCATGACGGCCGCGGGTCAGCCAGACGTGTCTCGCTCAGCTCGTCTGTTGCTGAAGGATGCTGCGAGCGGTCGTCTCCGCTGGGAGCAGCCGCCGCCGGGAGTCGAACCCGCTACACTCGAACAACTCATAAACGAGAGTAAAGCTAGGAAACCTACGCCGCGAGAGGCGCGCGCTGTAGAGGTTAATACACTTATCATATATACATACAAGATTTAAAAACTATACTATACTATGACATATTAGTCAATACACTTTTCATAAATATATATAGTCCGTTAGACTTAAGCTGAGCTTTGCATTTGTGTGAGTGAAAGTAAAAGTAGAGTTAGACAAAAAACATTTAGAGTTCAATTTTATTATATTTTAAATAGATACATAACATAAGTGCTAAGTCAGTGTTAGCCCAGTGGTTAAAGGACCCGCCTCTCGTTGCCGAGGGCGCGGGTTCGATCCTGGCCCGGGCAAGTACCAATGTGATTTTTCCGAATCATATGTACTTTCTAAGAATATTTAGACATCACTGATTGATGTTGATTCCCAAAAGAGGGTTTATGTCAAGCAGGCGGCCGGTCGTAAAAACAAATAGCCAAAACTATTCACAACATGTAAGGCAGACCCTGGCTGTAGCTGGAAAATTGCCAGGTAGAAGAAGAAGAGATAACATAAGTGCTATAAAATAAGCGAAACTTGTAAAAAGACAGATGGAAATATTATGCAAATTATAGAAAAAAAAATTAATTAATAAAAAAAATTAAAAACTATACGAATTCTTACTCACTTGACATTTCGTTTTCAACATTTGATTTTGCTATCAGTACAAAGGGTGAAGTGAGGAAGGTGCGGGGCGGAGTAAAAGCAGAATAAACCGGTACAAACTTAGAAAAGAACGTAGCGTTCAAAAATTTGACATCACACCTACACTATCCGTGTGCACTCACACAAATGCAACACTCAGCTTAAATCAAATGCACTATACATATATGAATACATTTGTATCTAGTGACTCAAAAACATGACATATTATTCTAGTTGTTATTTTATTCTTATCTTAAAATAAGTCCTATATAATATATAGGTGTAAAAAGAATTAAAAATATGTTCTGAATTGTCATTGATGTATCTTTTGCAACATAATATGAAACAATTTTGTTATATGTATAATATTAAAAATCTCACGGTTGATATGAAAAATTATTTAATATCTACAAGTTGATTTCACTGTTCGAGAGTTAAACATTCTTTTAAATAGTTTATTTAATATGGTAACTTTTCAGGGCTGGTTGAACAAATCCGCTGAAATAGACAGCGCATTCTTTGCGATGCAGAAAGGTGCAGCTCACGTTAAAGGAAAACCTATATTAGGGTGAGGATACATCATTATAAGAATATATATTTTATATTCATGTTAATTTATAAATCAATATTCACTGTTATTGACGTTGTACATAAAAAACAATTCTTATATATACTATAAAATAAAAAATAGGTAAATCATTCACTCAATAATTCATTCTCTCATTCATCTATCTAGATTATAGATTCCACTAGAGTTGGCTCTTGAAAGAAGTCTCTATTAAATGTTATAATTGTGAAACACCCCATGTTTTTAATTTGATTATATACCATAAATATAGATTTTTTTTCGCTTATAATAGTACTACGCAATTTTGACAACATTAAAAACTAACAAAAGATGATCAAAACACCCTGTATCAGTTATTATTTATTCAGACAAAGCTTTCTACTTGTTATAATTTGCTCACTAAAATCACCCTCAATATTCTATGGAATGCGTTACATATTCCTTGGTCGTTGTCCGTATCAAGTTCCGCGTCATTCCGTCCAGTAACCTACATGCATCTTACATTCTCACATTCTAAAGTACATAACATTATCCATATTTACTTTAAGAGCAATTTTCATGCTCGTTAACTCCCGTCTGGTCGTAAAGTTGTTAAATTTTATGAATTAACGCCTGGCCGCCTTCCAGTGCGACGGTTTCGTATTTATTTAGGTTTCCCTTAAATATAACTGATAGATCTCGCGCTCATGTAACAGAAGCGGTGTTGCCAGTGGTTTGGATATATATATTTTTTATGTCAATCATAATACTGATGTCTAAAGAGGTTGGCTGTGATTGAACCTTTTTTAAAGTATGTTATTGTTTTGATTTAATTTCGTTTTTTACTTGCTTCGTTATAAATATTTTTGTTTTAAGATACTTCAGTTATTTTGATTCTTTCGTAATACTTTTGACGATATATTTATTATAGCTTGTTTTATTAATACTATTTTACGTACTGGGTATACATTTTAATTATTTTTTTCTAGAATTTCTTCAGCACAAGTAGCAGATAGACAAGTTATTGGAAAACCCTGGAAACATGAGAAAAAGCATGCGAACAAAAATAAAAGAGAAAAATTAAGAAGAGTCTACGCCCATTTGGACGAACATTAAAAAATACAAGATAACATCTGTCTTACTTAGACAGAATATTAACAGTTCCGTGTAATTTATAAATACATATAAATAAACATCAAAAAGTATTCTATAAATAAACTGTATAGTTTATAAATGTGTTATTTATTATATCCTGTTTAATAAATCTCATACATATTTTAGCAAACTATTATAATTTCTATTAAAAAGTATTTAATTTTATTATAAATATGTACAAGCCTAGATTAAAATATATGACTTAATAAAATATATAGCTTATGGTAAAAAAGTAACAACGCTGAGTTAGAAGTAAAGCTCTGTGTTAAAAAAGTATTAATAATAATGGAAAGAACATCTTCAGAAATAAATAATGTTGCTGACGTCACATTTCAATTCTTAAGGTCGAATGAATCACTAATATAATTCAATTTAGAAAAACTATAAACAGTGGTTTATTAAGAGTTTATGTCGTCAGTCTGGGGGACGGAAAATTGTTTTTTAATCCAAGCTCATGAACTAACTCATAATATATCATTATCTATATTTTATATTCTCTTCTTTGGTAACTGGATAATTTATGCATCAGTATTTTTATATTTGAACAAACTTCAGAACTATTACGTCTTTGTTTAGTACCTGTTTTAGAAGATATTCATTTTGGAATGTGAAATATAAATAAATGCCAAAACTTTTGACATTTATTTTGACACAAAAGGAACATATATGGGAGTTAAACTTTAAACTTTTAAACCCAACATACCAATGCCTGGTTTAGGCTTTTTGCTTCATTCATTAAGATTTTTAGCATATCCGATCTTGCAACTCTGTTACAAGGTGATAAGCTACGTATACAACAATGTCTTTCGAGTAAGCTGACATCGAATCTAATATCTAGATGGTAATCTAAAAAGGTTTAACTCTAATATACAAAAAATAGTAATTAACAAATTTATATGTTACGGCTAAAAATCGTTGAACAAAATATAATATATTACAATGAGATACGAAGATAGAGATAACTGGTGTCCTTGAAATATCTATATTAAAACTGAATTGCAAAATGGGTGCATTGACTACAGACAGATTGTTGCCTTAAAAAAAATATTTCCAAAATAGGTGGTCTTGGCGTTACAGAAATTTTATTAGTCTATTATTTAGGAAAATAAAATATGCCGTAAATATTTATACCACATTCATTTATAAACGACTCGGAGTCGTTCAAATTTACGTACTTAATAACGTCAAAAACAGAACGAAGTGTTAAACGTAACGGAACGTTGGTTCCAAACTTAAAATCGAGCACTTGTCTTAAATTAGCGGCCATCGGAATATTCGGGCCAGCGTTCGGGATAGAATTCCACAAATATTTCAACATCTACGCATTGAAAATGTTTATGTTATGAATGGCGGGCTCAGGGTTAGTCTTTATTAAAATACTTACAGCATGCTGTTATTCTCGACTTATCAACAGACACGAACACGTACGAAGGGTTACAATGTTTATTTGTACAAGAAAATAAAGCTATCTTAATCTTACTAACGTTAGAATACAATTTTATACGAAATTAATATGTTCTCTTTTCATTCATTCGTTCAATCAGTGTAGATGCTTCAGTTCGTTTTGCTTCAAATTCTTGTGTATCGGAGTAAGTTCTCATAAAGGAGACCTTTTCACTTTGCTGTTGACATTCCAATCATCAGCAGCAAAGCGGAAAAAGACAAATCTATAGAGAACTTTGCTTTTCTTCTCCTATATTCTTCATGAAGACTTCTTTTTCTTCTTTCTCTTGAGAAAAATCTGTTTTATAGTTTTTGATTTATTGTTATTCTTATTTTATTAATACATAATTTTAATTGAACACATAATATAAATTTTATTATACACATACATAATACACTTTCACAATAATGTTATTTACAAAAGTCTATCATATCTAACTACTTTGAAATTTTTAAATATATGTCATCATTACACATTTGCCAGAAGAAATAAGTTTTTTTGTGATAATATGACATGAAATAGATTATACCAATAATTTTTATATGTAATATAAATTCTAGAAGTAATTTTAATTTGTCTAAGTATAATTTATTAAACACATTGTAACAGCAAAATGTGGCGCATAATTTATTTCTATATCATATATGATCCAGTGGTTTCTTTGTATTAATTACCTACATATCCTTGAGATAACAAAAATAATGTAGATAGAAATTACAGGCGAGAAATATATTTCGCACATAGTTTTTAAATTATTGTAATATTATGTAAATAAATTCTATTTTAAGTTATATATGTCGTTACTCAACATTGAACTGGGTCAATGAGATCTGTCTGGGAAAGTCGTGTCGGGATGTGACGGCATTTCTTGATTTACCTTCCCCGGAAAATATGCATAATCATTTCATGTTCCAGTCAAGATGTCTTCTCTCTCGTGCGGTGTATGTCGCTTCTAGATTAAAAACTTTTTAAAAAACAACTTTTGTCATTGTGTTTTTTATACAATTTCACATAATCTTTGTTGATTAGTCCTTATACGTTTATGTTATGTAATCAATAAAATTTAAAACAAATATTTTTGGAAAACATTGAAAAAAAAATTGGTCAGTATACAGAAAGATTTCTTTTTTCCAAAAAATTGACAAACGAGTAGACTTGACTCTTAATAAGTAACAGGTTTTCTCTACAATCTCTAAAAGGTCCCGTCTTCAGTTTTTCTTATTTTCCGGATGACGACTATAATTAGTAGAACTAGAACATATTCTGGTGCGTAAGGTTTCTCTGTACAGGGAGTTTTAAAGAGATCAAACTTTATGAAGAAGAACATCTTTCGTCATTCAGTACCTAAAGTTTGACAAAAGAAAACCTTCTAGATGACGTTGATGATGTATACCTGTGGTATTATACACCTGTGGATGAGAGAGCTTTAACAAAACATGGGACATGTCGTATGTAAACAGTCACCCTAATACAGGTGAAAGAATATACAAACTAAAGTGTAGACGCAATCTATGAGCTTTAGTTCATCTCTAAGCTTGATATTGACGATGATTTAAATGTACGGTACTGTACAAAGTCAAGTGGATATACATAGTTTATATTGAGGGACCCTGGCTCAATGTGATTGTACTTTTCTGTGTTTTTAGATCATAACCAATAACAAGTCCCGTACTACCATCGGTATGACACAGTTGTTTAGAAGGTATTCTTTGCGTTACAAGAAACTTAACTTCGTCTGACATTTTGTTTCCAAAACTTTTTCTGATCTTTACATAAAATATAAGAGCTATGGTTAAAGCGGATGTTTCGTGTTGTCTTCGAGTTGATGTAAACTAGATTTTTTTTTGATGTCGCAGGGAACATGTAATAGTTTACAGTTTGACATATAAATCTAATGATTTAGTCCACTTAAGGTTAACCTTCTTCAGGTATAATTGTCAATTAATTTAAACTATCTCTGAAATTGGATCATGCCCATGTTGTACTAATTACGATTTACGAAGTATTTTGATTTCATCGACGCTTTGCGTTAACTTATCAATTAGGTAGGTAGAGACCATCCCGTTCGTTATAAACTGCAAAATCTTAAGTCGTTTACTAAAATAGTCAACAAACAATGCACAAACATTAGATTCATTCGTAGATTATTGAGGATTTTAAAATTTGGCCCACAACTACACTAACACTATGTAGTGACGTCATAGAGATTGGACTCCCTTTGTGTTGTAAGTTGTAACTATCTCAATTAATATCAGAAAATATTTTAAAATACATTTGTTCAAAATAAGATAACACTATGAAAAAATCATATAAATTACAGACTCCAAATTCAAAAGCAATAATTTACTTATTTTAATTATGTTCGTCTTAATGCTTAAATTGACGCTTATTCTGCCCCCTAAATTAAGCAAAATAAAATAAATAAAGTTATACGTTCATTGAAAATCATGACTATAGACAGTATAAGTACATGTAAAAATGTGCCATTTCAAATATATAAATATAGCACACAAAAAATATTATAGATAGAGTACCCATACTCTACAACAAATCGTGTTTGAATAAAAAACTTTTCAACAATTTATCAAAGAATATAACTTTCTTTTTTTTTTTTTGTTTTCCCAGGGGAAATCTGTTCACAGATACCCGGCCGAGCGGGGACTTGACCGGGTTATGTGGGGTTTCGACCCACTAAAACCCCTGGGTGTTCCTCATCCACGCCACCTAGGCAGGGCCACGGTATACCAAAAGCTTGCCTCGCGACCCTGCCGGCGGAAGAATATAACTTATTAAAACACTATTGAAGATTATTTATTTCGTAACAAAATACATAGTGTTGATAAGTATATCATAGATTGAAATAAAAATAGCGGCCATGATTTTCTCAAGGCATTGAAAACTTTGATTTAGAAAAGCCAAGGTTTAATATCGTTCTTTTTTATACAGACTGATTTAATGGCCTGTCAAAGATATTACAAAGAAGTATGCGAGAGAAATTTTTATAGTTTGGGAGGATGAATAATGCTAGTTTTCATGGGCAATTTAATTAAAGCTATGTCGATTTGTCATTGAGGAATTTTTCCCGACTCCTTAGAGAATCATAACAATTTAACCGTAAATTCAAATAGTGGTGAAATTTTGAAAAGTGTTCATTTGTTCTTGTAAAAATGTTTTCATATTTTTTTATATTTTATGTAATAAAGTAGTCATTGATAGAATATCTATATACAGTTATTCCTGTATTATGTAGACTGTAAATACTTATTACGGTAATCTTTATTAAGAAAATAAAAATTATACAGCAGATATTGTCTCCAGAAGTTTGGACATCTTGCATAAATAAATTATATTGTTTAAGAAGACTGTTGAAAATAGTTTTATAATTATTATTATGACTATTATTATTTATTTGGCAATACAAGTAAATTCCTTTATTTTTTCCATTAGGCTTAATAATAGTCATATAAATATATAATAGTTGATAAAAGATTTAGTAGAAGAACTGCATCTATGGAAG